CACACACACACATTGTGTGAGTGGATTCTCATGGTCGAGAGGTCACGGTGTTTACCTCTTATTCAATGGGTCCCGTGTTTGAATCCGGATAGCAGCGGAAAATTTCTTCTCTAAAATAGTGTCCTTTCATCTTCTTTCCTGCTCTCCAACAATGTTTTGTCTTCTGCTTTCGTGTCAAACTCCTGCTTCCACTCTCTCCCCTCCTTTGCCCCCTCCTCTGAGCTTTCTTCTGCTTCTTCTTGGCTTCTTCTTACTGCTGTCTTCCAGCCACACCCCTGATCTTATGGTAGGTAAGATCTATAGCCTACCTCGCCTTCTCGGACAGATGCGAAAAATCTCGGCGGTCCTGTGTGCAAGTAGCGACATTAAAGATCCCTTGGTTGTCTAAATTTCCTTCCAAGTGAACTTGTTTAATGTGTCCCTCGCGCTCATGCCACTTTATGCAGTAGCGAGCGCCATAAAATACTTACTAAAAAAAAATCCACATTGAGTCGACGCGGGGGTAAAAACACTCACGTTTGTTGTTTTTTTAAATCGACTGCTTGCACCATAGGCCTATGCAGCCCGAAAAGCTCAGAATGTTTCTGAATAGTGTAGGTCTTCAGGGGTGATAACAATAGTGTTGTAAAGCGCATAGAGAATGATGTAGAGTGTAGAGCATGGATAATATAAATTATATATAAACGCATTTTCATTATTATTACTATTATTATTAGTATTATTATTTTTGTAATTATTATTTTTGTTGTTATTATTATCATTATTATTATTGTTAGTATTCGTATTATTATTATAATTATTGTTAATATTATTATTATTATTATTATTATTTTTGTTGTTATTATCACCATTATTATTGCACATTAGCATCACAAAAAGATACTGCTATTGTGAATTCGTGAATACACCTTCTCAGTTTCGAAGTCGGAAATACAACAAAATAATATATTCAGATTCAGTTGTTGTACGTGTAGTGAAATTACACGAGCGACTATTTGAACAGTAAAAAAAAATATTGCATATTCCAATGCTATTTATTTGTCCTGTTTGTTACCAGTGTTGTTCCAAACTCGGGATATTTTCTCTTGAATGAAGGCTTAAGTAACCATCTTTCCGTAAATTATTTTTAATGTACATGTATACACATAGGACTGGTGTTTTAGGCCCCTATCGACAACCAGGGATGAGAGGGACACAACGCCAGAGTAGAAAGACAAGGCTCTCGCCTGAGAGGTACGGTGCTCGCCTCTCTTTCAACAGGTCCCGGGTTCAATACCTAACAGCGACGGATAATATTTTTAAAAAAGAAATTGTCTCCTTTCACCTCCTTCCTGCTTTCAAACCATGTTCTGTAATCTGCTTTCTGCGGACATCCATAAAATATCTCAAATACACAGAAAGAGTTGAATATTTAGATAACTTGACTAACTTGTCACCCAAAATACCGAAGTCAAAACAAGTGTACTACATGTATATATGCAAACGTATTTAATCATGAATTAATCACATAAGGCACAGTTCTGATAGCATTTAAACAAGTGCAGAAAATGAATATTGAAAAAAAAAAACCCAACCTCGGAGGGTGATGATAGACAAAGACTACTGCATATAATCATGAACCCAAAACATACAGCTGAAATCATTTACACATACAATTATTTTTTGGGGGAATTAATTTCAATGGTATTCTTTCAATGAAGCTCCAATTTACAAACCATTCTACATATTTCACAACCAAACAAAAACCAATCAAGTCAACAAAAAAGTGTGGAGATCGAATCCAAGAGAGTCCGAACTTTCCTCTCAGACCAGTATCCTGATGAAAAAACACCTCCCAATGATTCAGTTTTTGAGCATAAGCTTTTTTCCTTAAAAAAAAAAGAATAAACAAATACATACAAAAAACCTGTTCTTACATTGTCTTCCAGCTCATACTGTTGCATCACTCTACATAATATGGCAAGCACAATGTGCTAGGATCTAATCACAAAGATAATAAGAAATAATATTGAACAAAATATTCAGGAAGCCCTTATCATAGCACTGTCATTCACTGACTACTAAGAAATATTTAATACTCACACTCCGTATGGATCACTGCAGACTATTCAAGTTCAAAATTACATGAAAGCTTTGTTCTAGAAACAACCCATGGAGGTCATACATAAGAAAGGTCATTGAAACAACCACAATATCTAAACCCCCATGTATCTACCCAGTACCCAGTGGAGTCCACTTAACTGAACACGGTAATTTAAAAAAAAACCCAGTGGTAAAAAAAAATATATATAAATAGCCAGGTTTTTTTCTCTTCTATTGCTCTCAAAACCGAGAACCTCACTAAAGCAAAGAAAATCTAGTGGCCCCATAGATTTCAGTTTAAGCAGACTCCACTGTACATGTGCAACAATATCACAATTCGTACAAACGCTTCAAGTTCATGACAAACTCTCGTCACAGTGGTGGGGATACAGACACTTCATTCAGTTAGTTGAATAGTATACACTGCTCTAAATCTGACACTTAAACTTAGCTTTCTTTTTTTTTAGCTACTAGAGACATGAATTTCAATCTTGTGCAACAAAACACATTTACACAATATCTTCATACATACATACATCCCAACATAAAAGAATATTAGTAGATTTTTTCTATTTTTTAGCTACTAAATAGGGATATATATGAACTTTTATCTTGTGCAATGAAACACATCTTCATACATACACCCAAACATGCCTAGACTTATCAACACACACTGAAAACAAGAATGAATTCATACGTCAGGCTATCTTGTCCAATGTAAATGGGTTTTTATTTAAAATGAAGGTGCCTTATAACACCCCCCCCCCCCAACAAAAAAATAAAATAAAAATGATACACAGTCCAATGTATTCACTAGCACATGCAAATACAAACATACACATACACACACACACATGACACAAACACATACACACAGCCATATCTTTAAACAGGATAAAGGAATAGAGAAGTACACATACACAAACAGCATTCTAACCTGACTGAAAGCACCATCATGTTGAGAAAGAACTGCAGTGTCAGTGCCAGTAACTCTCCACAAAGGAAAAATTCCCACCTTCTCACTTTGAAAAATAATCAAATATCAAAATATGACAAACTGACGCAGACCAACTTATCCTGGCCCCTTCATCTTAAGACAAATGAAAAGTGTTCTTAATGAGGTATTAAACAAGAACAGTGATTCTGTATGTCTGTTAAAACATTAGAACATCTGGTCAAAGCAAAATTACATTTTTGGACTAAGTTGAATGTAAACCCAGTGACAGGTAAATTAAAGAAAGCTATGTTCCAAATTTTGAAGAACAAAATCAACCTTTCCAATCACAAATTTAGAGCAGATACATCTCCCATTCCATTGTATGCCGTTTCCTTGTTTAATTTACTTTGCCACTAATGAGTGCAGTTGCATAAAATGTCAAACATATATACAGTCAAACCTGCTTCAACAAGCACCAGTCCAAAGTAATCGTTTGTACAAATGACTATTTACCAATACCACTTTTTAACTGCAGTTTTTTCTTATAATGATACTGTCCAAGACGTTTATCAATCCAAGACAACTTCCTTTTTCCTTAACAAAGGGCGGCTGTTTTGGACAATCTCGACTGTACTTCGAAAAGAAAGGACATATATTATACTACTCAGTCTTTCACACACCAGTAGATATTGATTTTACAGCTCACATGTTTCTGACAATGTGATATAGATGAAAACATTTTTTTTGTCGTAGGACCTGAAAAACATATTTCACAAGAAAGACTATGGGACTGATGGAGTAGACAAGCAGAAACGCCAGACAGTTAGAACACGCCCTCTATGCCACATAACACTTTACATTCTAATTCTATCATGGGTAGTTTAGACCCATCACAGATTTTGGAATGTTTTCTTAAAGCCCAGTATCCTGATGGCAGACCAAGCTCTCTGCATTGGCTCAGGAAGGGCATGAATAATTCAACAAAAAGTTATGCCTGGAAGTAATCAACAGTAGTCAGAAACTAAAGAGAGAGAAAAAAACATCCATACATGATTGCAAAACACTGTTGAGATGCATAAATATACTCACTACAAGTGTTCCTCTCCACAAATAACTACATTCAGATAAAAGGGGCACACACATGCACTCCGTCTCGTCTTCCACTTTCACTGTTGAGTTTCTTTCACTTGAAAAATTCATCCTTTACGGTTTAGCCAGCAAATGTACAGAACATGAAATCTACAAGAATCACTGTGCCACAGCCATGGACAAGAGGAGGAGACTGTAAATCCCTTCACATTCACAGCCACATAATCTAACCTGGGACAGCAGAAGGGAAACAACACGAGTAGCCATAAATAAGTAAACTACGAAATTTCTCACGTTTTCATATTATAGCTATGAACCTTCATATGATGAGAGGAAAATTACCTGTGAAATTCGTATGACTACGATAATATCTCTCTTTTTTTTTTTTTTTACTGTTAAATGTGTATGGCTATGATTATATCTCTTTTTTTTATTGTGAAATTAAAATGGCTATGATAATATCTCTATTTTTTACTGTGAAATTAGTATGGCTATAGCAATATTTCCCTTTTTGACTGAAATTAGTATGGCTATGGTAATATAATTTCTCCTCCTGACTGTGTGCGCATCAGACCCAAGATTACTTTTCAGTGGTAATCCGGAGGCAAAAATCATGTCCTAGATGACCTCTGTCAAGAAATGAGAATGGCTAAACACCAGGAATCCAACTGCTCCACAATAAAGAGTCAACATCTTCCAACACTGCCGGATACAAACAATGCTTTATGCTCAATGACTCATCAGGTAAGCAGCAAGGAGGGAACATCCAACAAGCTGCCACATAGACAATAACAAATTATGATGGGCTTTCCTCTCCTTTTGTGCTGACAAAATGTCTTCGTTGACTAGAGGATCTTAATCGGGGTTAACATAGATCTTTTCACACTAGCCACAACTTGAAATATGATACATACGTATCTTAATCTAGATTAGATGGCAAAAGCAGACTCATCTTTCATTCATTACATATCATTTCTTTTCAAAAGAAAGGCACTCTTTAAATATATCACATTTTTTAATGTTGTGAATGAAATGCTGACAAATAAAACAAGGGAAAAAAAGCGAAGGACAAACAAAAAATAATTTAAAATAGACATTATCTTTGAACACAGGTAAGTACATAAATAGAGGATTAATTAAAACTCAAGAATAGCCCAACAGCAACAAAATACAAAATGAAAGGTCAAATTAGCACCTGAGTAACTTGCTGAAACCACTAAATGTTTCTTTTAAATGTTGCAGATACATTTTTTAAAAGAACAAAAAATCGGTACTTATTTTATTTTCCTTTAAGTTTTCATAGGAATGCACAACTTATTCTCCGCTATCACAAAGCACTTGAAAAAGTAAGTAAGGCAACAACCATGTGTTACTAACATATGATTCACAGAAACATCAAGTACCGTGGTCTCCACTTAAGAACACTTCGCATAAGAACCTGGTCTACCTAAGAGCCAATTTTTTCTGCGTAACAACATTTTTTTTCTCTCTATAACTTGCATGCCTAAGAACCCATTCTAAAATATAAATTCCACCTCCGAGCTCGGACTGAGGTAAGGGAGATATACTTTTCTAAGCCCCATACTTACCCACACTTTTCTGTAACAGATAGCATTCACAGGGTCTTTGTTAATGAAGGAGAAGGCAAAAGATGTGAAGGTGGGTTGAGGAGATGAAAGTGCAGGTTGGGCGAACCAGCATACGACTAGAATCATCACCCTGCAGGCACTGCACATTTACACAGAACATTTTTAGGCATGGAATAGAGCTCTATTGATCAGGTCAGAAGCTGACTGGTTTTCCATTGGTTCAGTCTCTTGCCCCTCTCTCAAGAAGTCAAAGTCAAATAGTCCGATTATCATCTTACACAAGCTGACCCCTTCATGGGTCATTTTTACTCTTTACTGATACAGTGTTGCGACTGGTTCTGTTTCACAAGTTTCAATACTCTGACAAACCACCATGATGATGCAGCGACATGGAAATTTACAAATTTACTCAAAACTGTGAAGCCATTCATTCTCACTTACACCCGAAACAACAACCAGCACCCACCAACATATGTACACACTTAGTCATTTATATACTCCCCCCCCCCCCAAAAAAAAAAAACCCACAATAAAATAAAACAAGAAACCTCTCCATTTTCTCTCAGGCTTAAGTACCTCCTATGGTGTAGTTTTGGTTTCAATAAGAGTTTTTTTTTTTTATGGCACTTGCAAAACAAATAGATGGGGGGATGATTGGAGAATAACATACAGAGAAAAGAAGGACAGATAAGTATGATATATGTTTCAAAGGAAACAAGAAGCATACCATGCTAGAGCACCCATCAACTACCTGATTGTACTTGGGTCATATTTAACTAAGAAACCCCATTTTTTGTCTCCCAGTGACGAGGTTCTTTGGCAGAGACCACTGTTCTTGTATTCTGTCGTGACCATTGACATAAAGATGGGGAAAACAGAAAGCTCTGAAACAGTAGTGGGTATTTTTGTGCGCGTCGTGTCCCTCCTACAGGTGCTTAATGTCAATGACTAATTAAAAAGCAAAGTGCAAAAACGTTTAATCTCACCTGACTCAAAATTTTACTAACATGAATAAAAAAGACACAAAAAAACGTTTTTAATTCAATTTCTAAACAGTAGAATATTTGAGATGAAGAGGTCACACCTGTTTTACATTTACCCAAATCATTCTTTGACCTTTGAAGACAAAGAGTAGGATATACCTCATTAATATTCTGATTCTTAATTATCTTCTGAGGTTTCTGTTCTAAAAAAAACCCCCAAAAACATACATGTATGCCTGCTTTTTAGCCATGCATACCTAAAGGTTTCCTATGATCTGGCAGACTATCAACCACTCATGAAAATTGCATAAATAACATACGAGGAAAAAACGGCAGCAGCAGGAATCAACGGGATCCAGGGACTGTTTTCTCCGTACGTGTCTTTGATTAAATATCAGTCCTGACCATCCAGCCCCACCTCCACTCCCTCAAATTTCAGTAATCATCAGACAGACCTGCCAACCACTCCATGACCAGAAATATTTCCTCAAATCCCCCCTAAAAAAAATGCGAGTTTGGGGGAAAAAAAATCCAGAGCCATTGTAGATTAAGATTACATAACAAATCGACTGAGCCACATGTATTGCAAACACACGCAAATAAACTCAAATGAAAACGTGTTTGGTGTGTTTTCATGTCTTTTGTGATAAGTCGCATACCACCTGGCGGAAATGGAATTTGAGCAAAAAAGGTTAGATTTTCTGCAAATCTGTTAATGGTTCTTCAAATTTAAAAAACAAACTCGGAGAGCTGAGATTTTGTCGGAGTACTTGGCAGGTCTGATCAGGAAAGCCCTCAACCCAGTTAAAGAATGAGCCGTAAAGTTTGTGAACACTGTGTCATGAGGAGCTGCTGCTGCTGGCCAGTTCGTCTTGCACGTCTTTGGGGGGTGACATCGCAGAGTCCTGAGAGTGGTCAAAGAACTGGTCCGTGGAGAAGATGTTGACTGGTACATAATCTGTTCTGCCCCCTCGGGGATGTGCTGGGTTTTTTTTCTGAAAAAACGACAAAATGAAATACAGTTGACTGCGGATGAGTTGATGTTATCAGGGGAGTGAAAAAAAAATCAACTTATCCCACAAAGTGCTGGGACCCGAGAAAAATATCAATTCAACCAAAGATCAACTCAAGCGGGGTCAACTGTATAACAGAATCCGGAAAAAAGGAAACAAAATATAAACTTAGCTAAAGCGATAACAATGATAAACATCAACCACCTTCCCACACATTATTATGCTACGGTAGGCTGGCTACATTTGTTATTGATATTGGCCACAAAAGTGAAAGTCAGCCTACAGCCAGGATGGCGGAAAACAAAAAAACAAAAATCATTACTGAGGCTGAAAAAGCTCCAGGGGCTGAAAAATAAAAAACTATTTCCATCAAAATTGTTCCAACATAGTTTAGAAATGCTATCATTCTTTTCTTTTTTAATCATCCAAAGAGCAGTTCTAATAAGCAAAAGCATCAAACTCTCAGTCAAGCACAACACACAACCTTCAGTGTACCAGAAAAATATGAACGGTGAAAGTCTAGAAAAATAACAGAGGTGCCATAATATTTTACAGTTCTGAACACTTTATGTCAAGACTGATAAATAGAAATAAGAATGGCAGAAAGGAGAACAATGAATGCTAAATAGTTGCACCGGAATGCTCATACAATTGTATCAAAATAAATCTAATCAAACTCAGTAAACCGATACACTTCAGAGGAAAGAAAACAGGATGGATTGAAATAAATGCTCGTCTATAAATAGCAAGGCCAAAAGCATTGTATACATGATAAATAATTATATCAATACAGTAGTCTCCGTCTAAACGCACGGTGCTCGGGAGGGCTCCTAAGCGTGTGTTTATACAGAGCGTGCGTTTACATGAACCTTTGCAAGGGGAGGAAGGGACGCAGTCATCTCAATTCCTTATATTACTCTAGTGACCTCCCTTGGAGGGAGGGGGTCATTTTGGCAGATAATGATAATGTGACGACATGTGACTGTTTTGCGAAGGATTCCCCGACAGGATTTAAGAATACAAAGGTGTTGAATGGGGGGGGGGGGGGGGGGGGAAGACAAACGCAATGCAATGAATATGCACTGTCATAGCTGCCACTCAGGAATTTCAAAAAAGGAGGAAATTCATGTGAAGGCGGATGCGCGCTCTCCGAAGGCAAGAGTAAAACCAGTGAGATCCAGAGGCAATATATACTGGAAAATCTAGCCTACGGTTTTGGAAGGGAAAACTGTCATATTTGTTAACCATAGGCAACTGAATTAAAATGTATTTGAAAAAAAACAACAACAACATAACAAAAAACTAACAAAAAAACCCAACAAAGGCACTAAGTTAAGTAGACTAACTTAACAAGCATTTGAGTCAATTTGACACATTTTAGACTTGGTGACTAAAAATCCAGTGTTTGTTGCAAGCTGGTGTCTTATAAAAAGATTTCTTTCAACTTAAAACTTGTACATCGATGTAGAGTGCGCGCAGTATTGGATCAAGGCGGCAACACCTCTGCCGCTGTACTGAGCACTCCTGTACAACTGCAGTCCCGTTTGCACTTAACTTAGTAGTCCCTCTGTAGAGTGTAGATCTAACCTGAATTAAAATTATAGCCTAGGCTATCTAATCTAGATCTAGAATCTAGATATCTAAATATGTGTAAATCTAGATTATATCTAGAGATAGATTATCTAGATCTAGATCTAGATTCAGTGTTCACTTCATCAACAGCCACAATATAGATCTAGAATCTAGCCGTCATGTAAACAAACGGGACCGTAATTGTACAGGAGTGCCGCGGGCCGCGATTTCTTTATCGCAACAAACGCAAAGTGCAGCAAGCGGTTTGTTCAATTTTCTCATGAACTTTTCAAGTCGCACACCGGCAGCTTCTTTCTCATTTCAGCTCCTTTTATTTTTGCATTCAGCATCAATTTCTCTCAAATTTCCACCGTTTTCATTGACAACTCGGCGCGCTAACGTCCCGTTGCCCAATTGACACTTTGTTGCTCCTCAATAAACAAAGTGAAACTAACGTAAGGCCTAGAAGAACAGAAGTAGAAAGCTACGGGCGGACAAGCGCAAGCTGCGTTTCCTCTCTCTCCCGGTTCGGTGTTTTCCGCGTGTAAAAAAGAGTATCGCAATTTGCGGCCGAGAGCGGTCCAGCGGAGGAAGGAGGAAAGTAGCGGGACAAGCTAGATGAAGCGGAGTTTCCGCTATTTAGCGGGAAAGTGGCAGCTATGACTGTAAACGTTGGGAATAGATAGCCTAAGAGGAAACTGTTGGTCATAGTCATAGAGACGACGGACCAGCCACGTGGCTTTCCAAGCAATCACCCCCGACTGTAAATTCATGCAGAATCATCCCCGAGAAACATTTTCTCTTGTAATTCGTTGAACAAGTACGTTATAAGTTCTTCAAGTACAGCTGATTAGGCTTACTTGGCTAATCTTTAAAATCCTACAGAGGGCTGTTTAGTGTTTTACGGCATTCGCACGTGTCGCGCATCAGGCCTAGATTTAACTAAACATTACACGCAGTCACTCAAACACCAGTCAGAAATCTTCTCTCAAAGATACATTTCCAGTGACCAATCAAAAAACATTTCAGTCCCCCCAACCCCCCCAACATTTAGCCGACCAGCCCTAGATCGAGACCTATGCGTCAGTGGAAAGTAGGGTGTGTAAACGCAGTCCATTACTCTCTTTGTATAGCATGAGGGGCACTTTCACCAAATATCCGGTTTTCTAGTAAATTCTAGGCTTGTCTTATGCAGGCTGTGCAGGTTGTAGTGAAAATTTCCCCTTGCCAAGCTTAACTTGTCGGCGTGTTTCACGGATCGGAGCGCGCGTTTAGAGGGAGTGACCGTGCGTTTGTACGTCTAAATTAAATAGTAAAAAACCCGTCAGATGACGAAGGCATGCGTTTGAGCGGGGCGTGCGTTTGAGCGGAGCGTGCTTTTGTATGGCGTGCGTTTAGGCGGAGACTACTGTATAGAAAGGCTTGGCAGTATAAAAGTGAGACCTCAAAATAATTAAGTCAACAAGAATATGGCAAGACAAAGTAAAACAAGAAAGAAGGAGCAGGAAGAGGAAGAAGGGATAAGGTAAGGAATGGACACCTCTGAATGCTATTCCACTCAACATTATTGTCAATGTACAGGAGATGAAAACACCTGAAAGACTGTGACAAGGGGTCAAAATGTTTGTGCTGTTGAAGGCGTCAAAGAGATTATCTTTTTTTGTTGTTTTGTTTAGTTTTTACAGCAATACTAATTTCTATAAAAACAATGAAGGGGTTTCAAGTCTGCTTAGGATAACCATTAAATTAAAGCAGGCTGTGTAAAGTACTGAGGTAATCAAGTTAAGAGAACACAGCAATTTACCTTTGAGACAAAAGAGGTGAGCTTTTTCACCAGGCCCCCAACAGCCCCCAAGTCTGTCTCTGCCTTGTTCACTTTCTCTTCAGTGGCTGAGACACACTCTCTGACAATAGCAACAAAATCCTGAAATATTCAAGTATGCAAATGTGAAAAATGATCTGATTTATAATAACAATATGAAATGAAAAAGTGCACTAACATTCTAATAAAACTCATCTTAATGAAAGACAGAAAGACTCATAAGAGGCCATAATATAAACTCATCTTCCACTTTTAAAGGGGGACTTTTCATGGGACAAAACCACTACCAAAAAGAATTACTGTAAGACACTGTAACACATATATACATCATGAACTGAACTGCGAGTACAGATACATTAGAATTTTGAAATAATAGTACATAAATTTGGTTTCCCCTGCATACCCCCAACAACATATAAATCGCAATCAAAAGACAAACAATCTAGTATCCATGAAAAGCCAAAATTTTTTTAAAAATAGCTCAAAACTTTTTGCGGTCTTACTTTGATAGATAAGTAGAGGTCAGTTTCCCCTCAAATAATACTGCAGAGAAAACAGTAGGCATGGAAAAGGAATCTAAAAAAGAGAGCAACCAGATTTACTGAGTTGAGAAAACCCATCCAGGTTTTCTTCCAAGTGCCGTAAGTTTCAGAGAAAGCATGCCAGAGTTTTTTCTAAACTGACTGAAATTTTCTAGCTAGAAACAGATTCTTGAATTTTAAAAATAATCATCATAAAAGTAGCATCTTTGTACTATTCAAACACTTTCCATACCTCCAGCTTATCAATTTTCTCAAAGACAGCTTCAATTTCCTGACACTTGGCTTGGATATCCGGAACAGTGGTGGAGAGGCAGAGCGTCGTATCACTGCGAATCTACAGGAAGCAAAGGACAACCATAAGTGAAGGAATGTCATAGTGCCGTTATACACATATTTACACAAATTAGACAAATTATCTATCATAAAATATATTTTTTGACAACAGTGTTCCATTTTTAAGTAAACTCATTCTATAGCACATTGCTGCTAGTCAGACCTCTCATCATGTTCTTTTTTACTGTGTTAGTGTTATTTTCATGTTTTATTATACTATTGGTATGGCATAAATGAGTGAGACAAAAATGTGGGTGTCTTTGCACACCTTTTCTTTATTGCAAAGACTGATGGTTTTTCCTCTTACAGTGGAGGGGTAATTTTTCTCGTTTTTAGAGCTTTTTCTTACTTGATCTGATAATCTTTCAAAATTTGAACTATTTGTTTTTCTTTACCAGATATGATCTCTGTTAAAAACCTTGATTTTACACCTTAGAGTAAGAAATAATTTACATCTCTGATGTAAGGAAACATTACATACAAAAAAAAACAACAACGACGTTGATACATATCGTCGGCCAGCTGTTCATGTGCTATAGTAAGTACTATATAAGCCCAAAATGTTAGTTTTAGTGGAGGTTTTACCCTGCTCGCAACTGCATAAGTTTATGTGAATGTTAAGGGGTGGATGTCAACAGAGACGACCTTACAGGGAATCAGACTTATTCTGCTCACCTCTCTAGCTTCAACAGCATAAAGTCTGCTTCGACTATCAAGGCACCCCGGAAATAGCAGGACACAAGAGTGTAACAAACATCCAAAAGAAGTAGAGGGAAAATGACGATCATAAGGATTAGGAAAGAAAAAGTAGCAGTTCCCTGTTGCAGTTCAGGCACAGTTATGAGCATGACATTGACGAATCAGCCCATTTACAATTACAATTCTACTGTGCATAACAACATGGTTAATGTCCCCCCTTTGGGAATGGCCTAAAGACACTTCAGTCAGTAGCATCGACCCGGGTGGAGTCAAAAATGTTGAAATTTCTATTCTTCTATTGCACTTTCTTAATCTGTGGTATAAGTTGCTTGTGATCAAGAAATATAGTGTTGAAATTCACATTCCAAATGTTGAAAAAAGCAAGAAAAGATACATTATATGTAGAGGTACAATTGCTTTACAAAAGTTTTATACTTTTTTTCCTTCTACCAAAAAATTTTGCTTCCACAACCTAAGACAGTTGAAAAGCTTACTGGCGATTTAAGTGAGTCTCCATGAGATTTATATTATTTTCAAATAAGCAAAAGTATTTTCTACCACAAAAGAAGTAAATAGACATTGAAAGTGATCCACATAGCTCAAAAAAAGCTATGACATAATGTAATGACAATCTAACCACATTATACTTGAAAAATAAGAAAGGTTTACTCCTATCAGGGCTCTCCTTTTCAGGCCAACTTAAGAGGTTCCTTCACCCTTTGGTTTTCTATCTTAAAGGGAATTTAAACCCTTGTTTTAGAAACTTAAAAGGGTTGTTGTTTTTTTGTTTATATGTCTCACAAACTAATCCTCAAAGGTCAACTATCCCCTAATTTCATAGTAAGAAAATTTTGCGTGTCAACATTTAACTCACATGCACATTCACACAGACACACACAGAGTGACCATGACTATGATTGAATGCTTAAGATTTTTAATTAACTGAAAGGCTTCAATGTAACAACAAGAAATAAATAAGTAATATTAACAGAGTTAGAAATGTGTTCACTTGGAGGAGGAGGGGGGGATGGTGGTGGTGGTGGTTGGGCCAATCAAAAATAAAATAAAGTTGACAAACCGAAAGGGGTCAATTCCGACTGTAATACACAAAGAAAATAAACTGATTCATTATTTTTCAGAGCCATCCCAGGGTACACATTTCAGTCTTTCCAGACTTTGGATTTTTGTTTTTTAAAAATGGCTGACAATTCATGTTTACTAGTGTTAAAGAAGGATGAGGGCAGACCTGCCACTCTATGAAATCTAAAAATCAGGATCACAGGGGGGGAAAAATCAGGACCAAAGACAAATCACCAGGGTGACTGCCAAGCAGACTTTAAATTTTTCACGGGCGTCCATACATATATCAAGGTATATGCCCTTTGCTCTGCGTGTGTGTATGTTATCATTATTTTTTTAAATCCTGAAGTATCACATCAAGGACTCCAAGACCAAATGTCAACCCCCCTTAAGTCTCGAAAGATGCTGCAACCAGTGTGCATGAACTTAAGTTGACCCCATCAACGGATGGTCCCCGACACACGCGAAACTCACATGCCGAAGTCACGTGATGGGAACCCGTGATTGAAACAGTTATACTGACGGGTCTTGATGACTGGCTCGACTAACCAGCATTCGGATAAAGCTTGTTTTGAAAAGTAACAGCAGAACTACAATAAATATTGATCATTTGTACGTTGCAATTGCAACATTTATCAGGCCATCATCGGAGAACTCTGATTGGAAACAAAAGAAAAAGTAGATCTTGAGAACGTCCCAAGTCGGAATGCCAAATCGATACTACATATGTACTTTAATTAGGTGTAGTGGAAACAACACATGCGAGCAAAGATCCAACACAACTTGGGGCGAGTCAACTACTAAATCCAGCATTGATATTTCGGGAAATAGTTCTCCGAGTTCCTGGGGACAAAACGTTTAACAGGTGCTTTCCGCGACAGAAAAGAAGGCAGAGTAAGTTTTCAGACGGCACCAAAAAAAAATCGGGATACGTGAGATTGAAATTGGGAAAATCGGGATGCTTGAGATTTGAGGCAAAAAATCGGGATCGGATACAAATTATGAGTAGCCAGGTCTGTTGGGGTAATATCACGGCAGGGGTAAACCCAAGGCATGATACCGGCAAATGCGAACGACCAGAATGTGGGCGGAGCTTCTCTGCTGAAGCAAGTCTGTGTTGCCGGAAACCGCCCGCGCGCAGCTGATAAGTAGGTCGACTGCTTCTGACAAAAGGTGTGGATGTGTTGTAATGTCAATTGTCAAATCATTGACTCGGCTTCGGGATGGAGAAAGGGGGAAATGATGCTTGCCAGATGCACACCACCTATGTATTAAAGCGTATGCAAACCCCCGAAACGAAATTTTAAAAATTAAAGTTCACTCACCATCAACACTTGTTGTTGTTGTTGTTGTTATCAATCCAGCAACAGCTGGGCTCTCGCCCTTCTATGCCATTTAGTGATAAGTGCGGGTTTGCTGCAGTTGCTGTAATGTTCCATAGAGTGTGTTGTCAATGTTAGGTCTCGGAGGGAGAAGGCTAGCTCTGATGTCATTTAGGGCTAAGCAGTGGAACAGGTGATGATCCACAGTCTCATATTGGGGGGAAATTCTGGGTTTATTCTGTTCGGGTGGAAGTTGAGCTGTATGTTCTGTTCGTAGGCGGAAGATCGTGGTCTGTTTCTTTCTCTCTATGTGACTGATATTGTCATTCCTTCTTGTTGTGGTCATATGTTTGAAAACTGCTCTGCCTGTCTTTCCCAGGGCCCATCTGTTCATCCAATCTTGTTTGTTGTTGCTTTTAATGATTTGTTTTGCAGTGTTGTATGAGGTTGGAATGTTGGGTTGTTCCTGTCTAGATCCCCGTTTGGCAAGTGTGTCTGCTCTGTCATTTCCAGGTATGTTTGAGTGTCCGGGGACCCACTGCACTACTAGGTTGATGCCACAGAGTGTTATCAGATGATGGGAGCTAATCAGTATATATATGAGTCAAATCTTGGTTTAGAGGGTGGTCATTTTCTATGGCTTGTAAGACTGATAGTGAATCAGTGAAAATCACAATACTCTGTGCTTTTCCAGGATGAGTGTCAAAAACTGTGCGGAGATGGTACAGTGCTGTTTCATTTGCCATCATTTCTGCATCGTAGCTGCTGCATTTCTCTCCACAGGCAGCAGAGATCTCATTGGAACTTCCATCTTGGTACTGTATTAGTATTCCCTATCCGGCTTTGGTTGTGCCTTTGAAAGCTGAGCCCTCCGTATAGATGTGTATACAGTTATCTGAATAGCTGTCGATTGTTTGATGTGATGCAAGCATCGCATGACTGGGTCTGAAGATTTTGCGCAATTGTCTCTGAGAGATGTTGTAATGATTGGCTTTTTTAAAGAAAGGTGGGGAGGGATGTTTTGGTTGACTCTTTTGGTTTCTTTTCTGTTTTGTGGTAGATGGTGTCTCTCCATTAGTTCTGCGATGTGATACATGATTGACTTTTGTTGAATTTGTTTCTTTGGTTTCTATGTTTCTACTAATTTTCTGTTTGGGAGGTTGGGGCACATTCTTTTAGTTCTTTCAGGTAGCTCCAAAACTGCTTTATCTCTGCGGATTCCCAAGGGTTCAACATTAGAAAGGAATTCGCACGCGGCAGTAGGTGTGGATCTCATGCCACCATTTATAAAACGAAGGGCATTGTTTTGGACCTTGTCAAGGGTATTGAAAGTTGTAGTTCTGCACATAGTGAGTAGGCTATTACTGTATTCCAGGGAAGATCGGACATAACCAAGGTATAGACCTCTCAGAGTTTGTCTGATCCCCATGAACTGCTTGCGAGTTTCTTTAAAAGTTGGAGGTTTTTTTCCCCCTTGTTCCTTAAGTTCTCCACTTGGCTTTTCATGTTTAGACTATGGTCAAGTTTGACTCCTAGGTAAGTTGGATGTTCTTCTTTGGGGAGACTTTCATTTCCTTTCTTTAGTTTGAGATTTTCTTTGGCTGCTTTATGTCTCTTCGTAAATATGGTGTATACTGTTTCCATTCAGTTTATTTTAAGCTTCCATTTCTCACCAACACTTTTAAAGGGGGTAATCTGCAGGTTAATGTGTAATATACACACATCTGTGCGTAATGGGGAGCCCTCTCCAATACTGACCATATTCCATAGACCAAAAAAATCCCCTTGATCGAAATTATGATTCTTACCATATCAACTAAAGAGAAGAATTCATCCAGTTTAGTCAGCATCATTTCCACACTGTCATTGAACTTTTTTTCCTGGGAAACAAAGTTAGAAGTAAATCAGTTTTTGATAACAACATTCTACGTGAAACATAATAGGCAAATTCATTTGAGATTATCATAATTCCAAACTAGACACAAAAAGAGCAAAATTTCAAAACACCATCACTAAAGGAAAAAAAACAACGTAATGTCAAGGAAAACAAAGAATCCGTATATCTAAACTAAAGAAGAAGTGCAGTAGTAATTTGTTTGCTAAAGACTATCTCTATCCAAGAATATGCACTAATAATGATAATAGAAGCAGTTTTTAATTTTGTGCAAATTCCCGCTCAAGAGCGAGCTATGCTATGCCACTTTACAATCTATTTCACTGGCATCAAGAATGGGAGTAAGTCAAGGTGTAGGCTAAGGCTAGCCTAGATCTAGGCCTACGCCTCATTCATTGAAAACATGCCATGCCGTACAGATCATTAGATTAGATTCTAGATCTAGATCTCTAGATGTTCATCTACCTTTACTTACATATTATATTACTTATAGATCTAGATCTAGTAAATGTTTATAGATCTAGATCTAGATCTAGATCTACAGTCTAGATCTAGTCTTAGTCTTATAATATAACGACAAAATGTTGTTGCTGTTAAGTGTTAGCGACATGCCATTATTAAACGTAGAAAGACGCAAACTATTTTTAGGCTCGAACAAAAATTGAGTTTTTGCAAACCTCTTTTTCCATATTCAGGTTAAGAAATTTGTTGAACTCGCCAGACATCTCACTGACAACTTCATCGTTGGATAATTTGCCCGAATTTTCCGAGTCCAGTGAAGAAGAACTGGATGCAGACTTGACAACACCCGACGCCATTTTGGACCACTGTGTGTCATGTGATATAATCAAAGGAAGGGACAGAACCAGGCCAATAAGCTTGATCTCTATTTAGTCAAACCAGAGTTCTCCGTCATGCTACAGCAGCATACATTATGTTTTTAATTAGGCCTATTTTGTATGTGCCTCCTCTCTTTTAAATTCATTTTTTCACCAAAAATTACAGGCAAGCAAACTAACTAAAAAACTAATATAAACAAAACAAAACAATAGGTGGGTAAAAAGAAAACCTCTTCAGTGCACGTAAATAAAAAAAATAAAAGGCTTAAATTTATACTAGATCTAGATCTAGGTTCAAGAATTAATGGAGAAAGCAGTGAATATAAGCAGATTAGGCGAGGAGTGAGGCAAGGATGTGTTATGTCACCATACCTCTTTAACATGTACAGTGAAACAATCCTTAGAAACATAGAAGAATGTCCAGGTCTCAAAGTAAAAGGAGAAAAGATTAATAACATCAGGTATGCAGATGACACAGTTTTGATAGCAGGCTAAAAAAAGACCTTCAATTGCTTCTAGATACTGTTGTAACAGAAAGTGAACGTAAAGGATTGGAGTTGAATGTAAAGAAAACAGAATGCATGGTAATATATTTTTTTTTAAAGCAGCAAAGCCTTGTTGTAATCTCATTAGCAAAGGTGAAAAGATCAAACAAGTCCCACAGTTTAAATATCTAGGTTATATCATAACATCTGATGACAAATGTTCCACAGAAATAAGACGGAGAATTACAATGGCTAGGGCTAATTTCAATAAAATTAGCCCAATCCTGAAAAATAGAAACATCTCAATGAACACAAAATGAAAGTTCTGAAATGCTATGTTTGGTCAACCCTTCTATATGGCTGTGAATGCCGGACAATCACTAAAGACAGTGAAAATAAAATAGAAGCAACAGAAACGTGGTTTCTTAGAAGACTGCTAATAGTGTCGTGGAAGGAAAAGAAATCAATTGAGGTAGAGTTTAATGAAGCCCACGTGGGACGTTCAATGTTAAAAACAATCAGGAAACGGCAAATGCAGTTTTTGGGACACATAAATATAGACATAAGGGTCTTGAGCATCTAGCTCTCACTGGCAAAATTGAGGGCAAGCGAGGCAGGGGAAGGCCCAGAACAACATACTTGGGGAACCTAAACAAATGAGTAATGGGGAAAGATCAGGGAAACGTGGCTTTTTTTCCAGAGCATCCGAGCAGAGGAATGAATGGAGAAGCACGATAGCCGATGTCTGTCGCAGATCTGGCACTGGATGATGTTGATGATGATGATTAGGTTCAAGTTCTGGTGTACTTGACAACTTGCTAAATGGAAGCACACGGAGGTTTTATGATGGAGACTATAAACAGACAGACTCTTTTTGGTTTTAGTACAGGTTTTACGGCGCTCGCAACTGCATAGGTCATAATTATGAGCGCCAAGGGGTAGATGTCAACAAAGAAGTCTTTACAGGGAATCAGACTTACTCTGCTCACCTCTCTAGCTTCAGCAGCACAAAGTCTGCTTCGACTATCAAGGCACCCCGGAAATAGTGGGCCACAAGAGTGTGACAAACATACAAAAGAAGTAGAGGAAAAATGACGATAGTAAGGATTTGGAAAGAAAAAGCAGCAGTTCCCTGTTGTAGTTCAGGCACAGTTATGAGCATGGCCTTGTTAGATCAGCCCATTTGGAATTCTACTAAACCACTGGAACGAGAAATGTCCCCCCTTTGGGAATGGCCTAAAGACACTTCAGTCAGTGGTACCACCCTGGGGAGGGGGGGGGGGTTTAAGACAGACTCTGTGATAGATCCTGAAGAGGTGGGGGGGGGGGGGGGGGGGAGCAGAGATGGAAATGTTCCGACTGTAGTGACCCCAAAAGTGGACAAGTAAGACAAGTAAGAAACAAACACACACACACACACACACACACACAAATGCACATACACACACACCCACACACAAATTTTAATATGCATCTGACCCAGTAAAGCTACACATTTATTTTTCCCCAGCAATGAATACACTGGTCCTGTCTGCGGGTGGTTAGTGGGTGCTCTGGTGTGGTTTGCTCATTCTGTCCCATTATAATCAAACGTCTATTGTCCTTATCTCTCCTGCTTCTTTTTTTGTGTTTGTTACTTTCTAGTAACATCTCTAATCTTTGGCACTTATATGACCTTACTCTAGTTCTAGTAAGAGTTTTACGGCACTTGCAACACAATAAGGTCATATAAGTGCCTACGATTAGACTAATTAGAGGTGTTACACATAAAATGGGAGGGGAGATAAGGACGATATATGTTTGATAGGAAAGAAGAAGCAAACCACACCAGAGCACCCGCCAACCACCCACTCTTTACTAAAACTAAAAATAAGGTCTGGCTGGTACGAATAAACTAAGACACCATCGAAAGCTATGTGTGACTCCTCCAACGACTAGGAACAACACTATATATGTTCTTGAGGAGAAAGGAGGAAGACGGGGAGGAAGCTGTAGTGGGGGAGAAGGATAGGGGAGCCAAAAAAGGGAATGAAAAGGACAAGAAAAAAGAGAAGAAGAAGAAGAAATTAAAAGAGTACAAAGAAGAGGAGGAAAAAGACAAACAAAAAGGGGGGGAAAATGTCAAAAGAATCCCAAAAGAGCATGGCCTTTTCAAGATATTTCAATAACCAATAACTCTACAAACACATAGACACACCAAGGAATTACTGCAGGATACTTTTTGCTGATTTTTCATCCGCATTCAACGCAATCCAACCGCACATAATGGTTTCAAAATTAATTAACATGAACATAAACAAGAACATTATAGCTTGGATTCTTGAGTTCTTAACCAATCGACCTCAATATGTAAAATTAAATGGTGTAAAATCCGACCTAATATTCACGAACACCGGTGCGCCCCAAGGCTGTGTAATCTCCCCTGTCTTGTTTACGCTCCACACCAACGACTGTACTTTTGATAACAAAAACATCAAACTAAATAAAATTTGCGGATGATTCCACTTTACAAGGCCTTATAACAAATGAGAATGAATACAGGGACGCTGTGAATCTATTTACAAATTGGTGTGATAACCACTTCCTTATAAATATAAATACTAAACGTAAAAAGACAAAGGAATTAATAATAGACTTTAGAGTAAAAAAAAGACCAATTGCAACCACTATTTATTAAAGATGAAGAGGTGGAGGTGGTAAGCTCTTACAAGTATCTTGGTGTAACAATCGACCACAAACTTGACTGGCATTCCCACGCTGCTCTTGTGCATAAAAAAGCAAATCAAAGAATGTTTCTTTCAAGGAAATTAAAAAGTTTCCGTGTTGACAATAAGATTATGTCCCTTTTTTATCATTCTATGATTGAAAGTGTGCTATTATTTTGTATTTGCTGCTGGGGTGGGAATTGTAAGGTGAAAGATAAAGAAAAATTTGACAGAACCATTAAGAAAGCCAGCAAGATCTCTGGATATGATTTTATAAGAATGGATGAAATGTATAACACCGCATGTATAAAAAAGATAAAAAGCATTATAAACGACCCATCACACCCCTTTTCCACACAAATTGTAAGATCACGCAGCGGCAGATATGTACCTCCAAAAACAAAGAAAGAAAGATATAAAAGAAGTTTTTTACCATCTAGCATAAGGCTTTTGTCAGAATGAGCATAGATGTGTGTTGCTCTTAGAGTATGTAAGCTATCTGTATATAACTCCAAAGGTCTAGTATTTAAATTCCTGCATGTGGTTGAATGATGCATTTGATGTAAAAGTACGTTTTGTCAGCTTTACTTCTCCTTTCATATTGAATTTTAATGAGAGTAATATATATGATTTAAATTTTTTAATGTATACCTGCATGTGTTTTTATGGTCCTGTACAGCCAAGGAAAATTTCCCTCTGGGATAATAAAGTATTATCTTATCTTATCTTATCTTATCTTATTCCAATAGAAATTCTATGTATGAGAATGACCCTCTTTCTTGAGTAAATTATATTGCATGAACAGACAATAAACGTGAAAACAAAAGTCACAAAGATAAAAGAACGGTAGATGGAAAACATGAGGTGGTTGTATAAAAATGTTTTTATTATACAGCTTTAAAAAATCCACATTACATATTATTTGTTTCGCTTTTTTGCAATGAGATAAATAAACAGATTTGTTAAGTGTGGACAAGTTTGTGAGGTTCTAATGTCACTTTTCTTTATACTATAGTATAGTAAGGTATTAATTATTTCCAGCATTAGCCAACAATTTTTGAATATCAAGAAAGATATACTATGAGGGCTTCAAATACACTTTACTTATGAATAATGACATCACCAAAAGACTCAAATTTAAAAAGTAAGCTACCCAAGGTTGCATTCTTGACCCATGTTAGTTCACAAAATTATTTCAAAGAGAGTATAAACAGGAAATGAAGACATAAGAAAAAAAAAACTCTTCAAAGTTTACAGTGTGGGTATCATCAAGCTCTGTCCTATGATGGAAGCTGATGACAAATCTTTTACACCAACTATACAATATGAATCATTCTGGAGGCGGACTGCTTCGATCCTGCCTGTGTCAGGGCCAATTTGGGTTAAGCGAGATACCACATCACTGCAGATGGAGATACCCGACATAATTGTCATTTTCCCTGCTTGGGAACCGAACTCATGCATACAACAGCAGAGCCTATCCATTACATCCATGAAACCGGCATTTTGTTATGTCAGAATATATCACTTATCAGTATAAACGGCTACAGACAAAAACATGCGGGCTGGGGCTGGTGCGGCGTTCTTTTGAATGAAAAAGGTACATTTTCTTGTTCTGGTCCCATACCCTGATAATAATGGTGTCCGTTATTGGTTAATTACTAGGCCATATATCATAAATATGAGACCGGGAGTTCGATATTTATGAGTAGCAGAAAGTGGACATAGGAATCTCAGTGGACACTTCTTACTGTGGAGATGATTCCTTATAAAAATAATAGTAAAATCAGCAGCAAGAGGGTTTACTTTTAAAACAAAAAAAAATTAAACTTCAAAAAACAAAAAAGCATGGTAAGTCTACTTAAAAAAGTAAACAACTCAACAAAACTATGGCACCTAAATGGCTCATCATAGCATTTAAAAAAATACAGAAAGTAAAAAGA